AGAATATGCTTATACATGTTGGTACGTTTTACGTATACAATGTTACAGTTACATATGTATATCTTGGTAACCGCTGCACCAATTTCTTCCAAACTAGGCACAGTGGTTGGCCTTCGCACAACATACCAAATGACCGCTAAAATCGCTCAATAACCACGCCTACTTCCCATATAACGGTAATTTTCAGAAATACGAAAACTGCGATATTTTAGTAACTACTGGAGATAGTTCACTCAAAATTGATATTTACAATAATTTTTAGACGAAACAAAAAGAATATTATAAATATTTGGAAAATGGGCGTAGGCACGCCCACTTATGGTTAAATGTGTATATCTTGGTAACCGCTGCACCAATTTCTTCCAAACTTGGCACAGTTGTTGGCCTTGGTACAGCATAAAAAATCGCCGAAACTTTTTAAAATCGGACAATAACCACGCCCACATCCCATATAACGGTAATTTAGAGAAATACAAAATCTTCGATAAATCAGAAAATATTGATGCTAATTTATTCAAAATTGATGCTTGCAACAATTCTTTACCAAGAAATACGTTTATGGTAAAATTTTGGAAAATGGGCGTGGCACCGCCCACTTATGATCACATATATGTATATCGGTAACCGTTCTACTAATTTGTACCAAACTCGGTGTGGTTATTGTGCTTGCCACATATAAGCAAAACGTTGAAAGTTATTGAAATCGGACTAAAATAACGGCCGCTTCCCATATAACGATAAATTTCAGAAATGCTTGAAACTTCAATATTTCGAAATTGAAGGACGCTAAATTACTCAAAATTGATACACCCCGGCTTACCATCTAGCGGAAGGTTTCGGAAAGGTGAAAAAACTTATATTTAATACTTGCGCGGGGTATTTCATGTTCGGCTCCGCCCGAACTTAGACTTTCTTACTTGTTTTTTAATAATTTTGGAAACATTTCAAGTAGAATGTTCATATTTTTCTATTTTGGTGCCTATGTCTGCATACATACCAGGTAGCATCCATGGGCGGAGGGTAGGGAAAATCCGGGAAACGCAAACGAACGAGCAGATAAAGCGGGTAAACCAAACGGGGCGATGTGAAGTAGGTAAAAGCTGAGTGGACAAAGGGGAAAAAACGAGACATCAAAGGCAAACAATTTACTCAGGCAGGCAAACGAAGTAACGTAATGTTAAGTACATATATAAGAGAGTGTGGTTTGGGGTAATATTTATAAGTCTTTGCTAATAATTCGTCGACGAAACAAGTGTATATTTAAAAATGGAAAACCTAGTAAATTTTAACGCGGATACAAATATTTCAACCTGTTTACTGTGCAAAAAATCACTAAAAGGAAAAAAGGCATTATGCAACTATGCATAAAGGAGTTGCTGTCAGCGAGAATACAAATTCCCGCTCGAGTAGAGGAGCAAAAAAGTCGCAGAAATAAACATCGACAAAAGTGAATTTTTGAATGCATGTGTAGGGATGGTAACAGTGAAAAGTATCCCATTTCGTATCTTTGACGACGAAAAGTACTTTAAGAAACTCATACACCCTTATGAAAAAATGTTCGACCTTAAAATTAATTCTAAAAATATTGTGGACAAAATTGGGTTTGCGGCAGGACAAACAAAAAGTATTATAGCTGAAAATTTAAAAAAGAGGCTTATTTGCCTTAAAATGGATGTGGCGACAAGAAAAAATTGCCATATATTAGGCATTAATGCGCAATACATCGATGGATATAAAATAATTATTCATACTTTGGGAATGGTGGAATTAAGAAGCAGACACACCGGAGAAAACTTAAAGCAAGAAATCCTTAATTGCTTGGACCAATTCAAAATCGAAATTCGCCAGATTTATTCCAGCACCACTGATAATGGAGCCAATGTAATAAAAACATCGAAGTTGCTTCAAATATCCCAGGGTTAAGTTCAGGTAAGACATGTTTAGAAGTCCTTAGAAATTTAGAGTTTAGGAATCATTAAAAAGATTTAATATACATATAATTAATACTGATAAAAAATTTTCTTCCCTCAGAACAATCCAAATGATGACTCCGATTCCAATGACGTAGATGATGATGGGTATGATGAAGTGCACAATACCCTCAAATCAACTATGGCTGTGGTTAGATGTGCAGCACACACCCTCCAGTTAGCAGTATATTATGTCATTAAAACAATGCAAACTAACAGTGAAAGCTGTAGAAAAGCCGTTAAATCTCACAGATGCAATCTCCGCGGTACGAGCAACGTGCCGATATTGGATAATGCAACACGTTGGAACTCAACATATATGATGCTTAATTCCTTACTTAACGTAAAGAGCTATATTGAGGAAAATGACACAAATACGCCAGATGTTGACTGGGGCTTTGTCAACGCATTTTTACAGACATTCAAACCACTTGTGGATTGTACTACTAAATTGCAAGCAGAACAGTATGTTATTGAAGATTTTAATAGAGACTGGCTCACTTGCGAACTGGAACTATAGGAACTAATTTCAAGCCAATACGATTACGCTTCGACTTTACCAAGAACGGTAAAACAGAGGAAATATAATACATTCGAAGCTATTCAAGAATTAGCTGGAAATCCACCCAACAACGATGAAGCGGGTGAAATTGTAGCACCAACAACAAGCCAGAGCAGACCTTTTTTCAGATTGAATAACCAACTTGACAGATTACTAAGCAGTAACGCAGCAGTCACATTACAAATAAATTTAAAGCAAAAATTAGAAAATCTTGCTTATACGCAAAGGGTCCCATTTGAAGCTGATATCCTTGAATATTGGAAAACTCGTTCTATAAATGATAACGACATTGGACAGTTAGTACAAGTCGTACTCGCTGTTCCTTCAACACAAGTTTCAGTTGAAAGGGCATTTAGTGCTCTAGGCACAATTTTAACGAAGTTGCGATCACGACTCTCGAAAGAAACTTTAAACAATTTATTAATAGTCAAATTAAATAATGATATTCTGGACAAAGTATCATATATAGACTAAATTTATAATATGTGCACATTTAAACAATTAAATAAATTAGAAACTAAGTAATTCGGCTAACTATGTTACATATGTATAAATGAGAATATAATATATATAAGAATCATTTTTTGTCTTTTATTTCATAAATGAGTAGGACATTAACATTTTAAAATTAATAATCCTGGTTTAGTCCCCATACATATGTGTGTATGTAGTATAATACAAACTACTATTTGGGGTGTTAAACAGTATTTGATAATTAAGGCTGGTCCATATAGAACTTTCGCGTTGACTGTGTAGTTAGCGTTGGTTTGATAGAACGCAGTTTGGCAGATACTACTTTGGCCACTAAATTAACATATTAACGAAAGATAAGTTAATACTTCATATCAATAATTGCATAAAAATTATATTTCTTGCCCTCATTTGATTAAAAGGAAAAAACATTTCATATAATTTTATTTGTTTGCAACAGCTGGCGACCGACGCACGCGCTTTGTGTTGGCCTTAGCGTTGCCAAATTTTGGTTATGTGGACGGCGGCTTTGAAATTCAACGCCAACGCAACGCCAAAGTTGTATGTGAACCGGCCTCTATTCTTTGTTTACGCAAATACATATCCATACATACATACATTTTCATTCGATCTGATGTGCTTGATCTCAAAATCGTATCCTGACAAGGTTATCGCAATGCGTTGTAAACGATTAGCTGCATAAACTGGAATCCCCTTCTTTGGGTTAAAAATGTAATGCAATGGCTTATTATCCGTTACAAGCTTAAAATGCCTACCGTACAGATAATTATGAAATTTCTTAACCCCAAACAAAATTGCTATGGCTTCCCTATCTAATTGTGAGTAGCGCATTTCCGCAGCGGACAATTTCCGTGAAGCGAATTCAATGGGTACCTCATACCCCTCTGCAGTTACCTGCGACAAAATTGCACCAAGTCCTACTGGACTTGCATCGACGGTTAACTTCGTTTCGTAACCTGGGTTGAAATGCGCTAGACATTTATCTGCTTTCAATGCTGCTTTTAAGCGGTCAACTGATTTTTTACATTCCTCTGTAAAGCTAAATGTTTCATCCGCTTTCAGCAATTTATACAAGGGCGCACACATTGTTGTGATATTAGGAATGAACTTCCTGTAAAAGTTCACAACACCCAAAAAAGCCTGCAACTCTTTGACATTGTTTGGATACTGTATCTTATCGATTTCTTTTACCTTGTCCGGATTCGTATGCAAGCCGTGTGTGTCGATTACATGCCCAAGGTATGTTATTTCCTTGGCAAAAAATTCACACTTGTTCAATGCTAACTTGAAACCCGACTTTTCTAACACTTGCAGTACTTTTTCAACTCGTTCAATATGAGTTTTCCTATTTGGAGCTGTAATTAGAATATCATCCAAAAACACTACCGTTCCCTGTAAATTCATTAGTAAACTCTCCATTATCTTTTGGAATATAGCTGGTGCCGAAGCTAACCCGTAAATCAACCTAGTGTATTGGAATAAGCCTTTTGGAGTAGAGATCGTTGTAAGCTTTTTTGATACCTCGTCTAAAGGGATTTGTTGATAAGCCATTGATAAATCAAGCTTGGTGAATTCCTCACCGCCGTGAAGTTTTGCAAAAATATCCTCTATACGAGGCAAGGGATACTTATCTACCCTCAACTGTGGGTTTAGCGTAACTTTAAAATCGCCACAAATTCTAACGTCGCCAGTTTTCTTCAAAACTGGCACTATTGGAGTACCCCACTCCGCATACGAAACTGGCTCTAAAACTCCTAGATCTATCAATTTGTTAACTTCATTTTCTACCTTGCTCTTAATTGCGAGAGGAACGACTCGTGGAAAAAAAATTTCGGCGTATAATTTTCTTTAAGTTTCAATGTTGCCTTGCCTTTATTAAAACAGCCTAAGCTGCCGTCAAATAGATTACGAAATTTATTAAATATTTGCTCCCTAGCACCAACATCGACCTTGGTATAGTTCAATTCTGCAAGATTCAACTTAAATGTTTGTACAAAATTGCTACCCAGCAAAGGCGGGCCCCCGTTCTCTATGACCACGAATGTTACCAAGTGACTACAACCATTATACGCAACCATCATATCACAAACACCAACGGGATTAATTGCTAAGCCATTATATGTTTTCAAAACAATATTACACGGTTTTAGACTGCGTAATGAAAAGTAAGTTTTAAATGTAGCGCAAGATAGTACGCTGTACTCTGATCCCGTATCCAATTCCAGGTCTAAAGGTGCATTGTCTACATGTACTCTAACCTTAATAGGGCCATCTGAAACACTTCTCATCGAAAATAAAGGTACATCAGAATTATCGACATAGTTAAATTTTTTCATTCTTTTTCTCACTAGGGCACATGTTCTTTAAATGACCTTTGTTATTACATTTATGACACTTATAATTCCTAAATTTGCAATCACGACTTAAATGGTTTGCATACCCACATACTGCACACGTCTGCTTCTGTTGCTTTTGTTGTTTTTGCTTAGCCGCCCCCACTAGTTTGTTGCTTTTGTTGCCTTTTATGTAATTTAAGCTATCCTCTGTCTCACGTTTCACCTCGGTCTCACGTTTCACCTCGGTCGTTGCATTTTGCTTCCGAATGTATTCTGCTGCATTAGCAATTTCCACCACACGTTGCATAGTGCAGCTCGTAATATCTTCGAGAAAAATCTTGTCCCTTGCTGGCCCTCTTTCAAGGCCCATGACAAATTTGTCGCGCATAGCTGTGTCCAAGAAATTCCCGAATTTGCAATGAATTGCTAAAGCTCTTACCCGTACAGCCCACTCATTAACGCTCTCCGTGACTTCTTTGCTGGCACTGTAAAATTTTTGCCGTTCTGCAAAGCCTGTTGATGGAGGCTTAAAATACTCGCTTAGAACTTCTACGCACTTCGCAAACGACGTAGATTCAGCTTCTGGCTTTAGCGGGTTGAGTAAATTCTGCAGCAAAATATAAGACTTTTCGGACAGCGCGGTTAACAAAATCGCCTTCTTCCTTACTGCCTCGGAAATCCTATTTCCCGTGAAAAACTGTTGTAATTGTGTAATGAACACTTCCCAGTTATTTTCATTATATTTAAAATGTGGTACGGTGCCAATTATTTGTGCCATTATAATATTTTCCGTCGTCGCCATTGTAATATATTTATTCCTTAAAAATTCAACTTACAATTTTGGCCGCTGAGCACAGAGAAAAGA